CATTAGTAGTTTCGATCGAAGAAAGAAATGCCAGCAACGATACTCGTTGTCATTCGTTGATTTCCACATTCAAAAGATTTCAATTTCAATTTGAATTTGAATTTGAATTGGCAATAAAACTCCAAGTTTATCAGCTGCCGATGGCTCGGATGGGATCGGATCGGATGGGATCGGGTCTGGGCTGCGGCTGCGGCTTTTCCAGTTATCCAGTTTCCAGGGCAGTTTCCCCTTGGGCTGCTCAACACTGCAACCAACTCGTTATACAACTCTATTAGTTTCTTCTTTCTTTCTTTCATTTTTGTCCAGTCGCTGCCGCATACAAATCAACTAATTTCGAATCCAGCCAAATCTCTCACTCACTCTCTCCCACTCTCTCTCTCTCTCTCCCACTCTCTCTCTCTGCTGCACTCGAAAACATTCGATTCGATTCGTTTTTCTCTGTCCTCATAATTTATGTAAATCTAACAAAAGTTGTCAATTTCCATCTCTACACTGAGAGAAAAACCAAAGAAATTAAATGTATTATATATAAAAAATAAAATAAATTTTATTACATTTTCTTTTATATCTAATTGACATATAATTTCATAGTCTTTGATGTGAACAAGCCATAGCTCACCTTTGCCTGTATTTAGTCCGGTTTTCCTCTACTATTTTCTCGAGAAAAGTTTCTCCTCAAAGGTGCACTAACAAATCCCTGAAAATGGGCCCAATCTCAGCTAATGGTGAATCTATTAAGCCGAAAAGCAATACTCAATAGTCTTTACCGATTGCAATATTCGATCCAAATGAAATAAATGTGTAAGTATTCGCGGCTCAGTGCTTTTTTCTCCGTGTGTATCTGTGAGGGTGGGAGAGGGGAGAGATGTGGGAGGGGGGTGGTGGGTAGCGGGTGGTTACATTTGAATAAAATTTCAATTTTCATGCATTCCCTTGTCGGTAAAATGGGCCTGCCTTTTGCTCTTTTGCTTTCGTTTCCATCAATTCGATTCGTTTTGTGGAGTGTGGAGTGTTTTAGCGGGGAAACTCAATTACCCAACACACGCACACTTTTCCCCTCCCTGGCACTGCGCCAGTGTCCAGAAGAGGATCCTTCTTGTTCCTATCATTAGTGCAAATTAGGTCCTTCTTGATGCCCACAAACAGAAATGCCAGACACGTACCCTGTGCCCTGGACAGCCCTGAATATTCGTCTGAGGAGCAAAGAGCAGGGCCGTTACTCCGTTACTCCTCCGATGGACATTACGACTTGAGATGCATTCCATTCCATTCCATTCCATTCCATGCCCTTTTCTTCGACCCTTCGGCCACCCCGCCTGACCTTTTGCTCTAGTTTTCGGGCCTGGCCTTAAAATTTAATTTGATTTTTCCACTCCTTATCGGAGGATATTTTCGTGCTGGTTTTTCCGAAATAAACTCTAAATAATTCCCCAGATTACAGCACATTTATGGTAATTAAATACCGACTCTGCAGATACTCAAAACGAGTCCAGGGGTATATTAGATTTGTGGTGAAAATGGATGTGTGTAACGTCCAGAAGGAATCGTTTCCGACCCTATAAAGTATATATATTCTTGATCAGCATCAACAGCCGAGTCGATTGAGCCATGTCTGTCTGTCCGTCCGTCCGTACGCAGCGCCCGTGACGTCACGCTCAGACTGATTTTCTGTCTCTCTTGCACGCACTGTGTCGTTTGTCGTGTCGTTCAATATTAGCGGCGTCTGCCGAAGGAGAGCCCATTCGGACTTAGTATCGGGTATAAATGTAGAGTTGCGGTCTCTGCAGCAACTCGCAACGTTCCCCCTCGTTTTTCTGTGTTGCAAATCGAAATGAAAATTCAAATAAACTCCAGAGAGTGAAATATTTAGGTAATTAAGCCCAAAAGTGGCGGCGGTTTACGGCGAATTTCTGTGTTAATTTGAGAGCAGAGCAGAGAACATTTTTGGCAATTTCTCTCCGACTGTGTGTTTGTGGATGGATGGGGTGGTGGGGAGGGTGGGGGGTGAGTTGAAAAACACTATGTTTCGACGCACAACCCCCCCGCGCTCCCCGCTCCCCGTCGCCGTCATACAATATTAATTTCTATACGCTCATATTTGATGGCAAATAAAAGAGCACGAGGAATATATAAATGAAAATAATGTTCAAACATTTCGCACTAATTAAAAAGGCAGCCGGGATGAGTCCCCCCCTGCCTCTCGGCCCTTCCCTCAGTTCGATGGGGGAACGGGGGTGGGGGGGAATGGGTGTGGAAATATAAATATTGAATCGATGCTGCCGCTCCATAGAGGGGTCTGCCGTGCCGTGGCATGGCAGTGGGTAGGGGGGTGGTGGGGGGGACATGTGTAATTGCTTTTCCCTCCCGCGCTCCGGCGAATATCGATTGTTGTCGATTGTCCAGTTATTGATGTAGCAAGCAACTCTCTTTGTTCACAGTTTCCATACCCTGTAAAGGGAGCACCGGAAGAGGGGTAGAGCCGGCCTAGTGGGCTCCCCGCACACTCGCCACGAATCCGTGGAACAATCAGGGAACCAGCCCCATTTTCGAGAGGGTCTCCATCCCCAAACCCCCCTCCCCGCACCCACACACCCCCACCGCAGTAGAGAGTATCTTCAAGTCGCGAATTTCCATTCCGTTGGCTTGCTTCTTCTTTGCGTTTTACCGTTTCGTTTTGTTTGATTTTGGTTGGGTTTGGGTGGGCGTGGCACCACGCGTGGGCGTGTGCGGGCACCTCCATTCGGATGGCAAACAGAGGAAGCCGCCGGCGGGCACGTTTCCACGCAAAAAGCTGCTGCCAACGATTGAAACTGAAGACGCGTTTTTGTGGCTTTTTTTTTTGTGGGTTTTGTTTTTGTTTCCCCCCCCTTCTCCCTCTGGGTCGGTCGGACATTCAATTGAAAGAGCGCCTCGCACGGAGGCGGCCCACGCACTTGGCAGCTGCCTCACAGCCTGGCGGCCTGACAGCTGTCGCAACATTGCCAAAGACTCAACTTGGACTCCGCGACTCCGTGACTCCGACTCCGAAATTTTCTCCTCACAGCTGCAACCCGATGAGCAGTCATCAAAGGCAAATCAAACAGCGGCAGCCAAAGGGGGGGCAAGGGGGAGGGGGAAGCCAAAGCTCACGTGACTTTACAATTTATTTCAAGCATGCAGCAAAAATAAATTTATTAATAGCCCGCGCGACTCCGCAGAAGAAAAGGAATTACTGCCACCCACACAGCCCGCTGTACGATATATGTATCTGCTTCCCCGATCCCCCAATCCCCTCTCAATACGGCACTCATCCAGCTCTTCAGCACTCGCAAGGGGGGCGGGGGCGGGGGCTGGGGTCTGTACTCATTCATTCATTCATTCATTCAGTCAAGGAGAAAGAGATTCGCAGAGTCGGGAGTCGCATTCGCAATTTTCGCTTTGCGTGGAACCAAAAAGAGTTCTTTGGGGCTCGGGTTGGGGCTCGGGCTTGGGGCTTGGGCTCGGGTTTTCGCCTCGAAATTTATGCGCCTCACGTTTTCCCATTTTCAAGAATGACTAAATATCGTTTACACCCAACGAACTCCTTGCCACTCTGCCGCCCTGCCACACTGCCAGTCGGTGCTTTTCCTGCCATAAATGTATCTCGTGGATGCAGTTCTGCTGCGTGTGCAGTGCCTTCCGTCTTAGCCAAAAGTTTAATTAAACTTTTCCCATTCCCATTCCAAGAGACCAAAAAACCCCAAAAACAAGGCAAAGTAAAACATACTACATATATTTGATATGCAATTGTTTGCCTGCCTTCCGCGGCGGGGTGGGGGGCCTGGGGGGCATGCCACGTGGCAAGTGGCAAAGGTAATGGGCCAGCATTTTTCTTGCTGCAGATGCAGTTTTTCATCTGTTGAAATTTTCGGCGGCTGCCGCTGCTGCCGCTGCTGCTAATGCCCGAAACGTGTCGGCCGCTTATGGGATGGTAACGATAGAGGATTGAATGGATGGCCCAGAGGATGGCCCAGAGGATGGCCCAGAGGATGGAGGATGCCACAGAAGCTGCCAGCAGCAGAAGAGGAAAACTTTGTGAAAGGAATCGAAGTTTTTCCCAAACATCCCACCCAGGGAGCGCCCATCCATCCAGCCAGCCAGCCATCCAGCCAGCATTTCACCTGCCGATTAGCAGAGTCTCGATTCTGGGAGTCTCCGTGCTCGTTGCTCGTTGCTCGGATCTGGGATCTCCGCTTTCTGGCGCTTGCAAATTAGTGTTAATTTATCATGATTATTGCCCTGCAATGTTATCCGTAAATTGAGTTTGTTTCGAGCGTCGCTAACTGGCAGATACAATTTCAGCGCGGGGTGGGGAGGGGGGGGGGGGGGTGCAGCACGGCTGTAGGATGCTTTTAATAATGCCCGGAGTACTCCGCTTCCCACTCTCCGAACAGAACTGTAACTAATGCTGACTTCCAGACTGATATCAGGCTGTCAAGCTGTCAATTCTCGTTAGCATTGCCTGCCATGTGTGTGATATGTCCTCCCATTCTGCCCCCCTCCCCCCTCGCTGGGGATGTGTGCGGAGTTGCTACTTCAGTGGAAGTATCTGCTGCTCAAAAATTCAATTTCCAGCTGAAAAGATACACCAGCATCAATCGTGGGGCTGGGACTGGGGGGAGGGGCAGGAATTGACTGCCAGGAAAGATACAAATTGGAAATAGGTAGAAAAAAGTCATTGAAAAACGATTGCTGACATGAGACTCGACTCGACTCGACTCTCCCCCCTCTCCCCCCTCTCCCCCCTCTCCCGCTGTCTGTCTCTGTCGCTCTGGCAACATGTGGGGGCACGGAAGGTAGTCTTGGGCCCAGGATTAGCACCAGAAATAGAAGATTCGAGCGAACGGCAGTCGCACGGAGTAATAGAATTATTTGGGGATTCTGTCTGCTCTCCTCTCTCTCTTACAGCACAATCAAGACTTTAATTGGCAAAAGCCCAGGACTAACTCTTGCTCTCTTCTGTTTCCGATTTTTGCAGCTATAGTTTTTTCGCCGGATAAGAGCCGGAGGGAGACTCCAGTGGCCGTTCATCATGCGCTAAACGGAGCAGCGAAAGGACAACGGCGATAGGACAACCGAGCAGAGGAACGAGCGAGCGAGCGAGCGAACGAAGGAAGGAAGGAAGGAAGGAAGAACCAGTCAAAGGACACACCAGAAGAGCAGCGGCCGCCCCCCGCCTCCCCCCCTCCGCTTCCCGCTGTCCGCACCACCCACCACCCACGGAAAGATGCCATCCATAGCCAACAGCAGCAGCAACTTCCTGACTGCCAACGATGCGCGTCTCAGTTACGTTGTAGATCATGTGGCATCCTCAACGGCATCCTCATCCGTATCCTTAACCACATCCGGATCCGCCTCCGCCTCCGCCCTCGATGCTGCCTCCGCCTCCGCCTTTCCCACATTCAGCCCACCGCGGATTGAGAGTCTGGTGGCCAGCTCTGCGGAGCAGGACTTGAGCAGCTTCGGTGACGTGACATTCGACATCTTCGACGACGATGACGATTTGTTCGGCTCACCGATGGCCTTCGATGCCACCGAGCAGGGCCTGTGGAACGGCCGCTTCGTGCCGCCGCCGCCGCGTCCCCCCTTCTTCGTCGACGAGCCGGTGCTGAGCGATGGCCTAACCACGTGTGATTTATGCTCCTGGGCCATGCCCACGAAGAACACCTTCATGTTCGAGGGTACGATAGGTGAGTGTTCCCATACGATAGCACATCCACTAGCTACCACAAGATACAAAGATACATAGATACATATGTAACCCCACTCTCTCTGTCTCTCTCTCTCTCTTTTGCAGAAAAGGCCACGGAACTGGGCTGGCCGCTGACGCTGATCATTGTGTCGGTGCTGTCGGCGCTGCTGGGCGCCATCATCATGATTGCTGTGGTGCGATGTCGCCGCAAAAAGTCCTCCAACAATCGGAATGGTGAGTCCTCCGCCCTCCGCCCTCCGCCCTTCGCCCTTCGCCCTCCTCCTTTCTCCTTTCTCTGTACCTGCAACCGTGTTGACTCTCACAACATTTGCCGACTGTGTTTTCGCATCTGTGTCTCACATTTTCAACTCTTTTTCTCTCCCCCTCCCTCTGTGTGTGTGTGTGCCTTCTTGTGGCATCTTGTAGACACGCACGTGCAGTGGTGGTCCCGGAACAAGCGCGCCCACGGCAATAGCCTCAGTGGAGCGGGCGGCGGCAGTGGTGGGGCCGGTGCCAGTGCCGGGAGCAGCGCCAACCTCCACCACCACCCCCACAATGGGAGCAACAACAACATCAGCAACAACAACAACCATTTGCGGCGAAGCAACATCTATACGGCACACCCGGCGGACAGCATACGATGCCCGTTGCCGCTGCCACTGCCGCTGCCACTGCCACTGCCACCATCCTCGTCATCGCCCACGCTGGGGGGCACAGTCATGGCCATGACCATGTCCCCATCATCATCATCCACAGCAGCAGCAGCGGCAGCGGCAGTGGGAGCGAATGGAGCAGCAGCCAGCGCGCCTCCGGGCCAGCACTACTTCCATCCATATCACCAGCAGCATCAGCATCATCCACATGCACATCCACAGCATCCACAGCACTCGCAGCACTCGCAGCATCCACAGCATCCCCATCATCAGCTCCAGCTGCAGCATCAGCATCAGCTCCACTCGCATGCACATCATCCGCATCATCAGCAGTCGTTGCAACAGCAGTCGTTGCATCATCATGTGCCGCTCTACCCGCATGACTGTGACGAGGACGCCGCCTACGAGGAGCCCGAGTACCATCAGCCCCAGCAGCTGCGCTCGGCCCACAGCTGCTCCTCCATATCGTCGGCCTCGCTTTCGGTTTCGGTCTCGGCCCCCTCCTCGCCAGTGCCCACCGAGGCCTCCTCCTCCGCCGGGCTGGCGGCAGCGGCAGCCATTGCCGCCTGCCACTGGCCGCAGGCCACTGCCAGCACGATGGTGATTGCCAGCTGAGAGTCGGTCGGCGGCTGCTCCTGGACGGTGCAGCCACAGGAGGCACCAGGAGGCACCAGCACCAGCACCACCACCACCACCAGCACCAGCAACTGGATCTGGCAGTGACATGTTGCCCCGCAACAACATTTCACCGGTGGCAGTGGCGGAGGCGGTGGCGGTGGCAATGCTGCTGCCTAAGATGCTTAAGATGCGGCGCACATATTCTGGTGCAGATCATAAAAAGGATTACACGTAACAATTTTGTCAAGTCCATAAGCATCTAAAGGATACACTACCGAAAGCTGTATCTCTCCGTCTCCCTCTGTGTGTGTGCGTGTGTCCCTCTGTGTGTGTGTGTGTGTCCCTCTGTGTCTCCCAATTGGGAAAACCGAAACGAATTTAGTGTCACTTCCGTTTCCGTTTTGCAAACTATCGAACCAGACAGTCAGCCAGGCAGCCGGGCAGCCAGGAGGCAGACATTTCGGTTTGTGGCATGTGTGGCACCGCCAGCATGAGAAGGATGCTCTACCAAAGCAGGATGCTCTCTCTCTACCCCGCCCTCGCTCTTTACATGCCATGCACGTTTCATCCTTTATTGCCGTTCGGCATTAGAACAGGGATTTTGTCAGATTAAAGCAAATAAAGGGCGTGTGGCCTCTGTTTGCACCCGACATTCGCATTCGAACTGGCGATGGATGCCACAAGTTTAAATCGTTGTACCGCCCTGTGGGTGGGGCAGGGGGAGGGGGAGGCGGTAGAGGGAGGCTGAGGGTATGCTGGCCCCACTGCCAGATGCATGCTGCAAATAGGATATAAAATACGACCCGTAGAGGGTAAGCCTCAGTCGAGTTGCTCAATGGGATATTTCCTACTCGCTTCGTTTTCTTTTTTTTCGGGACTTAAGCTGTTACACGAGTGTGTGTGTGTGTGTGTGTGAATGTATGTGTGTGTGTTTTGTGGTGTAGCCTCTCGGGACGGGGGGGGATCTATGTATCCGCTGGCCCGCCCCCCGCCCCCCGACCACTTTGTGGCTTTTCACTTCATTCCAAATGACATGAGCAAATAGATTCCACCACTAACAAGAAACAGAATCATTAAAAACAGTGTAAATATCGAAAAAGGCACAAGGCAAAGGAAGGCCAGAGAATGGCAAAGAGAAAGTCCAGCCGAAAGGTACTAAAGAATTAGAGAGAAACAAAAAAAAAAAACGGAAATACTCGCAAGAATACGGATACCCACAAAATCAAGCATTTAATAGGCATTTCTGCATTTGCATTTGCATTTTTTAAACGAAAACAAAAACAAACAAATAAATATATATAGACAAGCATATCAGATTTAAACACAAACTAAAAATAAAAACAAATTAAAGCCCCGCATAAAACGTACTTAAACAATCATCAAAACTAAAACTAACAACAAATAGAAGGAAAGAAAAACAAAAAACAAAAACAAAACAAAAAACAACTATTGTACATAGAATTTGTTGCTCCAATTAGCAATTAACTAGGAGAGCATTCAGCCGCAAGTTTCTACGACTAAATATCGCATTAATCGACAAAAGCATTCCTCTCTCTCTCTCTCTCTCTCTCTCTTTAAAGGTTAAAGTTTAGATTTTTTTTTTTTTTTTTTTATACACTAAGCAATTTACTAATTTAAAAAATAGACAACAGAAAGAAAAACAAAAAAAATGAGAATAAACCAACCAAAGACTAGTCATTTAAGTGGAAATGTTGCTATGTACAAAATAAAAAGAAGATAAATATGAATATTAGTAGGGTTCCCCCTTCCCCCCCCCCCCCCCCTGACAGGGGGGCATAGTATAGTATATATTGAAGCGAGTTCATTAATTCGATTTATGGAATGCATTCCAATCGGGATTCGGGGGAGGGAGGGGCATTTATTAGTTTTACGAAATTAAAAAAGAACAACTGCAATATTGTATTTTAAATATTTATTCATTAAATGTGCACACACGGCCCTTCTCCACCCCCTTCTCCACCCCTCATCTACCTTTCTTCCCTGCCACAAAATAACAATAATCGTAATTAGCATTTATAATGGGTAAAAAATGAATAAAAAATGAGCGGAAAAAACATACAAAAATATACACATACACATATACATATACACATATACATATACATATGCATATGCGTATGTATGTACTACTACGAGCAACTCAAAATGTTCCAAAAAATGTTTAGAATAGAAGAAGCCAACTAATTACGCGGAAAAGCAAATATTGTAAATCCAGTTCATAGTTTTCGCTAAAAAAAAATTTAAAAAAATTACAAATTACAAATTTAATTGTGCAGAACTAATTTAGGCACACAAAAAACACAAAAAACGACAATGAAAACAAAAACAAAACAAAAAAATAATAAAAATAAAATATAAATACAATAAAAATAAAAATTGATTTTGTTTTTATTTCAAGGGGAAATCCAACGGTAGATTCTTCCGATCTAGTCCAGGGTTTTCAGCAGGAGGGTGAGGATGCCGTAGCACTGATTCAGGATCTGAAAGGATATGCGTCAGAGAGGATAGTCCAGCCCTTGAGCTCGTCCGAGACGCAGCCACTCACAGCCATGTAGTTGCTCAGGTTGAAGGCGGGAAAGGGACTGGCCCTCATTATCAGCGGACGCTGCGAGCGGCGGACCATGAACCCAATGTCCCGGTGGATCCGCTTGGAGCCAACCCTCGGATCGTAGGCCTCGTAGGCGGCGTGGGCGACCTCCAGCGACTGCTGGGACATCATGTCGCCGAACTTCGACCAGAGCGAGAGGTGTCCCAGGGCCAGGATCATCAGGACCATGAACTCGGCTGCCACCTTGGGCTCGTGGCGGGCCATCAGGGCCTCGAAGACCGAGAGGGAGACCAGCAGAAAGTTGACAGTCATTTGCATGATGAGGGGTCCGTGGAACAGCTGATTGCAGCGATCGACAGTGCTGGAGAAGAGACAATGCTGGCAGTTACTGGGGGAGGCAGACCCGACTCCAGGCTTACAGAATGATACTCTGGTGAGTCCTGACCAGGCGAGTCAGCTCCAGTCGCAGCCGATCCTCGCTGTTGTCGCCCCAGAAGTGCCGCAGCTGCTGCAGCTCCACGCACAGGACACTCAGGGCAGTCGTCACCTGGGCGTAGAGGGAGATGGACAGGCCCTCGGTGGCCACGAGCCAAATGTTGAGGTACGCCATGCTGAAGCTCTGACAGACGTAGATGACGAGGTGGGCAATCGGGTGCTTGGCCGGGTCGTGCAGCTCCAGCGGGAAGACCGCATGGATGGGCAGGCTCTGATCGGCCCAGAAGGGCGTGACAATCAGGAGCACGACAAAGACGACGACTGCGACGACCCACACGAAGTCCAGGCCAACATTTAGCAAGAAGTCATGGCGCTTGATCGCTCGACAGGTCTCAGTGCCTGGACCTTTGACCTCTGCGTGATGCGAGTCCTCCATGATGTCTATTAAAACGTCCACTTCATCCGCATACAGGCTGAAGAAAACCATCTTGAAGACTATGAAAAACATCTGTAAGAAAGGAGAATATTCCACTTCCACTTCCGCTCTCCCTCTCTCTCCCTCTCTCTCTCTCTCTCTCTATCACAAACCCCAAGTATAAAGGCCAGATCACGACCCGTCTCGACAATATCGTCCAAGGACTTCAGCAACCCGTAGAACATCGAGGCGTACAGGGCGGAAAACTGCACGAGAAGAAACACATGCCACGCCCTTCGCAGAGGCTGTCCCTTATCCTCGGCGTTGATGTAGAGTCCCATAACCCTGAATCAGGTGCGAAAGTCAGGTAAGTTCTTACAGATTCAAGCGTACTTTTGCACTCCACGACAGACTTCATTTGATCCCGACTGTAGTATGCGATGCTGTGCCTGTTGACCATTTTTGGATCCCTCAACAGACCCCGGGCGTCCAGAAAGGCTCCGATGAAGCGATTCCAATAGCTCTTCAGGCCAAATGCGCCGTGGCGGTCCCGTGGTCCTTCGACCATTTTGCCGACTGAATGGATACTGAATGCTGAACGTCTGCCTGAGTGGTGCGGTGGCCACCGGTGGCCACTTGGCGCCATTTTATTATGCATACTTGCGGCATTGTGGCATACATCCGCCATGCATAGGCAGTGCACAACTTTTGTTACCCTTTCGAGGGTGGAAGCACCTACAGACGATCGTTTGAGATACCTTTCAGGCCCCAGAATAGCCCCTCCAATAGCAAAATGCATACAGAGGCTCGTCCAGGGTATTGGGAAAACAACATGCATGCATGTGCATGACGAGGCACACTCCTCTGAATGCTTTGCCTGGAGAGAACTATGCCAGCCCATAGAAGATTTTAATGATATTTTTAGTAGATGGCAAAATTCTTTTCCTTCTAAAGATAATCCCAAACGAGTAACCAAAAGACAAGAGCTGGTTTTTACAAGACATCTCCACGAAATGGATGGATGGATGGATGGATGGCTCCTCCGAAAGGGTATCTGGAGTATCTGTGCCTCTTCCTGGCTCTACTTGGAGCCCTTTGTCGTAATTGCAGGACGAGAAACTCACAGCTGCTCACCGACGCCTGGGAATCCGTTTGGTCGGTGGTAATTGTTGCAATTGTTCCAATTACAAATACAAGTAATTCTCTAACGAAACCACTTAAAATTCCAACGATTTGCAATGCGATTTCTCTCCTTCCACAGCCCGTTAACCCTCCTCCCCCACTCCCCCCCCCCCCAACATTAATAATCCCCGGCAATAATAATATATAAAAATGAGAAACGATTTAATTTCATTTTCATACGAGATCTCCACGAAAAGTGAAAGTAGGAGCAGAGCTGGCACTCGGATTGTTAAAAAATAAAGAAAAATAATCAGAAGGCAAGCGAAGGAGAGGCTAAAATATTTAGGTTGTTCGGTCAAGAAAGAAGTAAGGAATATTTATGCCATTTATGACACGAAAGGCCCTCCGAACGTGCCCCAGAGATTGCAGCATTTTTGCATATTTGCGGCACGAAGCGACGAAGCGGTGAAGCGGCGAAGCGGTGGCAAGCGAAACCAAATGAAATGCAGAAAATCCACTCGAAGGAGATAAAGCAAAGGGGACAGGGGATTGGGGATTGGGGATTGGTATTGGGGGCTCCGTTGAGCAGCCTCGTCGCAGATTGGGGCACC